AATAAAATCTACATTATCTGACCAACCATTTTACTATAAGTTGTTACGTGGAGTAGACGAAACTTGTAATATCATCAACAATTATTTTATTCTTTCCAGGACTATGGATTACCAATACTTGCTTGGAAAAATGATGAACTTTACATTTACTTCCGGAAACAATTTTAATTTGAACAAGCTGCTGTTACATTTCTTCAGATGTTTATGAATCAATAAATATTTTTTTTTGTTTTATAATCTGTAGATCTTGGTGTGCGACTGTTCTTTTTATTGGGTATAATTCGCTCATTGATAAGCATACTATTGAAATATTTCTGTTTATGTAGATACAAATAAATGCTTTTAAAACTTAACACAAATGGAAGTTGTCTGTTTGTTGTTGTTTTTTTTTTGAGAAATTTGGTATCTATATACATGGAATTCATTGTTGTCTCAATAGCTATACAGATTGTTAACACAAGAAATTTAACACAATTTCGAAATTTCAAAGCTTGGCTATGATTTTATTCAAGCACAAGAAATTTGAACGTTTATTGGCCATAGACAATAATTCATCACACTTGATCTGGGTCTACTACGCGTTGCTGTTGTTATCTTCCTGCCAACGTTCTTCTATGTCGAGAAAGAAATAAAAAAACTATAAGATATGTTAATGATAAGTACTATTTTTTGCTATTGTTTTGGTAAACAAATTATTAATAACACTAACTGTGGAAAAGAATAGTACATGACTAGAACACATAATAATATGTACGCGCTTAATCACTGAATATGAATTATGCTTGCGAAAATAATTCAAGGGATAAAATTGTTAAAAACCATTACCACTTTATATAAGGAAAAACGTTTTTATACCACGATTAATGAGGGTTGTTAAATACCATTACCACTTTATATAAGGAAAAACGTTTTTATACCACGATTAATGAGGGTTGTTAAATACCATTACCACTTTATATAAGGAAAAACGTTTTTATACCACGATTAATGAGGGTTGTTAAATACCATTACCACTTTATATAAGGAAAAACGTTTTTATACACGATTAATGAGGGTTGTTAAATATCCAATGCTTTCACGTGAATTACAAAATTAGGTACTGTCGGTTTTCTTACCTATTCTGCCACAACTCCAAGCTAGTAGTATCCATATTGAGAACCATATCCTTGATTATACATGTAATTAACTTCACGAATATCGTATGGATAAACGTCCGAGTATTCGTTGCGTACGTTTGGCACGTTGCCATAGTATCCACGGAAATCATATCCTACATTTCCATAGTCATAACCATAACCGTAACCATCGCTACGAGGAAAGAAGGTTGGCTGGCTTCTAGCATGATAAATGCCTGTAGATTCATACACGGGTGTCTGCGAGTCAACACCAGCTGTTATAACGATAAATACAGCTGCTACTGCACTGTAAAACTATTAAAAAAACAATATTAATAATTAAATTATATATTTCAAGAGCTTAACGGATAACAAAACACAGGTATCTGTTGTTAAAGTTAGAACTATTTTATTCAGCACACGCGGTATTCCAAAATTTTGCTAACTTTAGTAAAACGTATAAACCGATGTTACTTACCAATAGTTTCATGTTGAATCTTCTAGACCACTCGCTGGAACTTATGAAAGTGTGATCTGAATTGTAGAATTTGCTTCAAATTCTCTTACTGGTCGTAAGATGCACTTTGCTCTCTCTGTTAGAATGTGAGATATATATATAGTTGGAGGAGCATGGTCCAGTAGAGATTGATAAGCAGAAATACAGGTTAGTAAGTCATATTGATGACAGTTTAGAAGGCCATTTTGTGACCAGTATGGGCAAACAACATCATTACTAGGATATATAATACTGACGATATGATGTTACGAACCGGTTCAGTTGTTTTGATATTTTCACCAAGTGCAAAAATGTAAACTAAACATTTGTAATCTGCTTTAAGAAACATGTATTGCACACGTGTGATATTCACACTTTCTTAAGTAAACAGTGTGAACTTTCACACAGACGAGTAGTAAAAGTATAGACCAAACTTACATGAAATTACTACGACTTTTCATAACGTTAAAGGTTGGGTTTATTGCGAGTTTGTGGCCCTCTTGTGGGCCTTATGAGGGATAACCGTACATATAAAATGAAATTTTAATCCTCACACTTCTATATGTAGTTTGTTGGTGTAATTTATTTATTTGCGATCAGATGTAGACTAGGAAGCCATGTTAATCTAAATTTTTTATTGACTTCAACAAAAACATAGAATTAATTAGTCACAAACAACAGCTGGTAAACTTGAACTTTTGACGATGTTTACTAAAATAAACACAGAGCAGTGTATAAATAATTCCCTACAGTAAATATGCTTGAAGGGTAATTATTACGACGTTGCACATAAACAGAAAACATTACATAAACTATGGCTCTAACTTCTATAGTTTAATTGTCTAAACCACAATTTGTACTCCATATTGGATGTTTTTTTCTAAAGCTAACCAAACATTTCCAAAGAATCTCTAAAGTGTATTTATTATTAAAAACCAAAGTATTAAAAGTGTTAAAGTATTTATCCGCTGTAAGTTTAATAATATGTAAACAGGACTGATTCAGTCGGCTGTAGGTACGTGAATGAATCGGTGGACTGATCAGACCTGTAAATGTTCGTTGGGGTCACGTAGTCTTTAGTACGTCAGTAGTATAGTACAGCTATATACAGTTTACAACCAACTCAACAAGCACTTTCTTACAGAAACTGAGGTTACCACTTTCCCCAAGAACTAGAATAAACGTGAAGTTTAAAAAAACAGTGAGAAAAAAGAAGTAGTCATTGTAATTTTACTGTTCCTGTCTTCCCAATGCATTTTAAGCTACTGTAACTTTCTGATTATTGAAATATATCAAACATATTGTTAGTGTGAACTTGCTTTATAGTCAGTATGAGAAAAACCTATACACTGGATAGGTGAAGACAATGTGTCATTGGCCACCATTCAGTTCTTCACATTACATAGCCGTACAATAGCAGGAATAATGAATAAGCTTAATAAGCTACGGTAACTTTCTGATTATTGAAATATATCAAACATATTGTTAGTGTGAACTTTCTTTATAGTCAATATAAGAAAAACCTATACACTGGATAGGTGAAGACAATGTGTCATTGGCCACTATTCCGTTCTTCACATTACATAGCCGTACAATAGCAGGAATAATGAATAAGCTTAATAAGCTACGGTAACTTTCTGATTATTGAAATATATCAAGCATATTGTTAGTGTGAACGTGCTTTATAGTCAATATGAGAAAAACTTATACACTGGATAGGTGAAGACAATGTGTCATTGGCCACTATTCAGTTCTTCCCATTACGTAGCCGTACAATAGTAGGAATAATGAATAAACTTAATAAGCTACGGTAACTTTCTGATTATTGAAATATATCAAACATATTGTTAGTGTGAACTTGCTTTATAGTCAATATAAGAAAAACCTATACACTGGATAGGTGAAGACAATATGTCATTGGCCACTATTCCGTTCTTCACATTACATAGCCGTACAATAGTAGGAATAATGAATAAACTTAGTATCCCGAAAATTGTTTAACCTTGAAGTCTAAGTTCAAGGAAGGTCCACTTCAAGCTACACTTTATCAACGTGTGTTAGTGGGTTATACTACTTTCGGAGAGTTCCACTCCTCATCAGTAACCCTGAACACAAGTTAACCAAAGACTCATAGTGACTATAAAGCACCTTCACACCAACAATATGTTTGATACTTTTCACTATGATATAGGTCCAGCTTATCTTCCTGTAAATAATGATAACGAAAAACATGATTTTCACATGTTCATGTCGTAATGTAACATTGAACATAATAAACAGGCAGAATATAGATGTGCATGCATTATTTCTTTTACAATACTGGTGTAAAATATTATACTAAACCGCACAAAACATTTCAGATTAAATGGGATCTATGTAAATATAATAGTACTGTCTGTTGTATGTCCATGTAACTACTTCGCAGGGTGTGGATGGACCTTTACTGATAGTGATTTGAAATGTAAAATATTGATCATATTTAGCTCCTTTTAACAATATTTTATCACTGCTAAAATTCAGTTGATCAGACTTAATACCGGTCTCAATTGTTTTTTTTCAGTTCATAATGGATAAGTTTTTGTTACTTATTGTGATGTTTTTTCCATTGTAAGCTAATAGATAATCAAAAACATTCTTTACATATAACACTGTTGTGATTTCTAATAAACATGATTTAATTTTCGAAAAGTAATACCAATGAGTAGTCTTATGTTGTACTGACACGAGCATTATATACGCAGACTATTTAATACATTTAATCATCAAACATTATTTGTGGATAGGCACTGATTCTAAATACGTTTGTTTGTAATTAAACACAAAGCTACACAATGGGCTGTCTGTGCTCTGCCCACCACGGGTATCGAAACCCGTTTTCTAGCGTTGTCAGTCCGCCGTGCCACTGGGAGTGCTCTAAATTCGTTCAACTCATCTATAATCTTATTTCTAATCCACTTGTTTTATAAACAAATATAAACACCCTTTATACCTAAGAGCAGAACCTGTAATCATCAGGCTTCTATCCCTATTTCAGAGAACGTAGCTTCATCACGAACAACGTCTTAACTCTTAGATTTGATCTATTGTATTAGGTTCTGATGTTACTTAAATTTTCACCAAACCTCGTCATTTAATCCCAAAAGCTTTAATAATATCCCTTACCATATGTTATCTGAAAGAATTTTGGTAAATGTTAGATGTCTATTTTTAAATACATATGATTAAAAACATGTCATTATGTTAGTCTTACCAAAGCAATGTCGATAAGGGTAATTTACGAATGTTAAGGTTACTATAGTTATTAAAGTAAAGCGTTTTTAATTTCAAAATAGTAATAACATTACAAGAAAAAAAAACAACTGTTGTTTGCTAATTTATTTATTTTCATTAATATACGTAAGAAGCTGAAATGTTTGCATCAACGTACACGGATTTCATGTAATTTCTTTTATTTCTAATTTTTGTACACGTAGAAAAAATAACAACAACACAAAATACCCTGGCAAAGCCAGAAGTCATTAGTATAGTAGGATGTTGTAGATTTATTTAGCTTCGATCACACACACACACCCGATCTATGTCGGCTCCTTGTGGGTATCTTCATAATTGTAGAAAAGACCTGGTTTAGAAGAAATGCATAATATTATCAGTTTCGAAGATATCTGGAAAACAAAACAGAAATTTTACGATACTCGACTGAACTCGTAATTAACCTTTCTAAGGTGCATGAATATTGAAGAAACGGATGATTTATATGTAACTAATATAGAGAAGAATTGTTTAACTATATATGTTTATTTGGAGTATTATGTTGAGTTCGTGTATACTATAATGCCTAACAACAAACATTGCTATATAATTACAGCACTTCAAATACCAAAAGCATACAAACGTATTGTAATAAATGCTCACCTATACAATATCTTCCAAATTTTGACATTTGGAGTATCTTAGTGGAACCCAAAACCATAACCATAGCCTCCATAATGGGGATAACCATATCCATAACGTCTATGGCCGTAGGCATAGCCGTAACCAAAACCAGGATAACCATACCCGTGGTAATTATGATAACCATAACCGTGGTAGTCTTCATGGCCCAAGTAGTCCCCGTGTCCATAACTGCCGTATACTCCATATGGGTAGTGAGCCCCAGCCATGGTGGTGGCCAGAATGGTAAGTAGTAACAAAACACACTGAAGGGGAAGAAAGAGTCATATATGATAAAATATGTATACACTTTATTGTAAGTGCGGCACGTTAAATATAATTATAAAACACTCAGCAATATTCTTAACAGTTCAATTATCCTTCAACCCGTGTACATTAGAATTACATTAGTCCCAGTATGAAATACCAATAATATTTTGACCAGTTTTTTAATGCTCAAAATCATAAGAAAACAGTAGGATGAAAATTTGTTTGTTTGTTTGTTTTGAATTTCGCGCAAAGCTACACGAGGGCTATCTGCGCTAGCCGTCCCTAATTTAGCAGTGTAAGACTAGAAGGAAAGCAGCTAGTCATCACCACCCACCGCCAACTCTTGGGCTACTCTTTTACCAACGAATAGTGGGATTGACCGTCACATTATAACGTCCCCACGGCTGAAAGGGCGAGCATGTTTGGTGTGACGGGGATTCGAACCCGCGACCCTCAGATTGCGAATCGATGCGCCCTAACCACCTGGCCATGCCGGGCACAGGAGGAAAATAAACGCTTAACATACACAGTATCTTCCAAAGTTTAAGAAATATCACAGCCACAATTTTGACGTCATTTATTTATTAACTTCATAAAAAAAAAGAAGTACGGAACACGTATCGCCCTCTTCTGGACGCTTTTTTATACTGCGTGTTGATGTCTGTTAACGCTTTAATAACATTCGTGGTTTTAAAAGTTTCAAAAGACGAAAAACCTAAAACATAATTTTCAATGTTTATTTCGTATCGGTATTTTAATAACTCAAATAAAATTTTAACATTTAAAATTTGGGAATTATTAGTATTTGTTTTTCAAGTAATCTTAATCGAAAACCAAAAACAAATAAGATTTTCTTACCAGAAGCTTCATGTCCGACGTGAAAGTAGTTTTCGTGAGCAGCTGTTATCCTAGTGTTTTTAGCGAGAGTTAGAAATGCAAGACTTGCTCTATTCTTATATATGTATGTCTACTAAACAATAAAACTCATTTTGAAATGTCATTATTCCTCATCAACTGCGATGGTACAGGCACCCACCATGGTTTCACGTGTACCAATGAGTAAGGTGTTTTGAAGGACATTCCGTTAATATTATGAAAGTCTATTATTTTGAAGGAAACATAAATCGGTGATATCTATAAAGAATAGTTCCCACATTAGGCAGCCTTGTGGCAGAATGTTTAATACCGTAGCTTGCTCGATCACCAACAGTTCCAATATAATTTGCATTACGAACATTATCAGCTTGTGCTTGCAAATGTACACAATGTCATATATCATATATAAGTAAAGAAGTCTGTATTGTTAGATCAAAGCCTGGCTAAGTAATTATAAGTAAAGAAGTCTGTATTGTTAGGTCAAAACTTGGCTAAGTAATTATAAGTAAAGAAGTCTGTATTGTTAGGTCAAAACTTGGCTAAGTAATTATAAGTAAAGAAGTTTGTATTGTTAGATCAAAATCTGGCTAAGTAATTACAAGTAGCAAAGCCTGTGTTGTTAGATTAAAACCTGGCTAAGTAATTATAAATAAAGAAATCTGTATTGTTAGATCAAAACCTGGCTAAGTAATTATAAATAAAGAAGTCTGTATTGTTAGATCAAAATCTGGCTAAGTAATTATAAGTAAAGAAGTCTGTATTGTTAGATCAAAATCTGGCTAAGTAATTATAAGTAAAGAAGTCTGTATTGTTAGATCAAAGCCTAGCTAAGTAATTATAAGTAGCGAAGCCTGTGTTGTTAGGTTAAACATGGCTTTATTAGAAAGAATATTTTTTAATGTACTAATTTATATCTTTATTTGAACGAACATTTTTAATGTACTAATTTATATCTTTATTTGAACGAACATTTTTAATGTACTAAAATTATTTTTAGAAATAATAATTTTAATATACTAAATTATATCTTTATTAGAAACAATATTTTTAATGTACTAAATTATATCTATGTCTAACATTACATCAATTCAGTAAGTGATTTATATATGGAAAACGTTTCTTGTTTTAAGCAGTTTACAGAATTTATGTATATAGTGGTATTTTCAGAGTGTAAAAGTCAACATACTGTTTTAATGAGTGACTGATCATCACCAGTTCTTTGCTTTCTTTAAAACTTAACTACTCTCACTCCTCTTGTGACTTTGTCGTGTTTGTATTTCTTACATCACACACGTGACTCACAAACAAATACAGTTTGTTACTTACACCTGGAACGAACAGGTCTACTGACCTAAATCCTTGGTGTTTAAAGAAATAACTTGCCCTTGAAATCAATACACCCTTAACCATAAAAGAAAAACTGTTTCCTCAGATGTAGAGTGTTCTAAGGTGTCATTTCTCACCCCAGTGAATCTACATTTACATAAGATTTGAAGAATGTGTAGTATTGATGTTACTAACTTATTATTTTGTATTACTCAGTAACTACTGGTGAATCTAATTATATATAATGGGCTTCATATGTATTTTTAGTATTTTGTCTTTTGAATAATTTAAAATAATTAATTAGTAGCATAAATGCAACGTAGCATTCAAATCCTATATAACTATAGGATATATGTGATGAGTATAACACAACTCAAAACACCAAATATATATCGTACATTCGACCATTATATGAAGCCTTGTCTTGATCTTTTGTTTTACACCTTCGACAGCTTCGAACTCGTTGTGTTAATAAATGCTTTCATGATCAAAATGTCATTTTCTCTGACGTTCTCGACACCATCGTCTGTACCTCAAGAGTTCTTTTAGCACTAGTCGATCATGTTATGTCACTCCTGCCTGACGACCCTGAGCACGTTAAGGTATCGATGTCCCTTCTTCCCCCTTTCATCTATCCCGAGAACTAATGACTGCTGGTTCCCTGACCATATCTCGTTCCCTGATTTAACCTGCACCGTGCCGGCCTCCATTTCTTCCGATCATTTACACTACTAGCCCACGTCGCCATGTTTCAATCACCCCCATCTCTTCGATTTTATCGTTCTTCATTTTTTTTACTTTTTCACGTAATATATGCTGGTTGAAGATAGGGTGAAAGCCTTTTGTAACCCACCAGCCTTTGGCTGGAATAGGCTGACTAACACATATACATATTTCAACTTGCCCTTGTTCTAGGTTACTGAGAAGGCATGGAGTTTCCAAATGTCGTATTACTCAGTAATGAGAGGTGACTAGGTGGTTGGGCCTCATTTCCATTTCTGGTAATTATTTTAGCATATTCAATTAGCAGGGGAAATTCACAATTAGCAGCAAAGTTAAACGCAGTATTTGCGAACAAAACAAATAAGCACATTCATTTATACAAGTTGTGCCATTTCTAGCGAGTCACTGATTGGCGAAAAGGATAAAAAATATTATAAACTACAATCCCATTTCAATAACAGAATATAACAACATTTCGTTCACATGGTATAATATTTGGATGATTTATGTCGTCAGAAAATGTGTTGAAATAATCCCTTTTTAACCCTATTCTTATATTTTACACAAGCAGTTTGTTGTAATGTAAAAATCTTTTCTGTTTAGTTTGTTAGGCGTTGGTGTTATTGAATGTTTTTTTAAAGATGTGTTCTTTCACCAAAAGTAATCCATACATACGGCCATTGGTTTTAACAAGCGCTAATTCACAAATAAAGATTATAATTTCAAGAGGCTTATGGATGTTAATTTAAATATTCGCCCAGTCATTTTTCCAACGTTATACTAGCACAAGGTAGGAGAACGTTTTTCACTATTTGGTTTTAATTAAGATATCGGAGAGCAGTTTCGTTTTCATTTCACGAAATGGCATTACGCCATCTGATGGTTAGCTAATCGGGTTGGAGATCCTGAAATCTCGGGATTGACATACAGCGCTGCCAAACAGGCTTCGCATTTTCAGCTGTGGGTGAGTTATAAAAGTGACAGTTAATCCCGCTCTCTATCTCTCTCGGCATCGGGATTTGGTCATTTACCTCTAGTCCGCAATTTAAAACTAAGGATGGCCATGCCTGATTGATAGAGTCTCTGATTCAGCCGTTTTGTCCATTGAATGACCATTGTGTGTTTCACTGGACATTAGGAGTAGATATTGGTTGGTCAAACAAAGAAATGCGCCTTCTGGAGGGAAGTGAAACTTTACCAATAGCTAACGTATTACATATTTTATTACTAAACACAAGAAAATTGCTGTACTAAACTTTTATCAAACAACTTTTAAAAAAGAAATGTCTCGGACCAGGAAACAGAGTTCCGATGACCATTCGGATCCTACGGGGTCCAGTGTTCTAGATAATCACATGCAATGTGTTTAAAATCCATACTACAGTCTCCACTGTGTTGTGATAAAATAAATCTGTAGAAGTAGATAATACTCTTCAGTCACTAACTGGTCACGTCAAAACTCTTGTTACGTTGATGGGTATAAATATTTTACTTTTATCAACCCACTCTTCCTATCAGTTACTTAATGATACCACAAGAGGGCTACCAACATGAGTTAATTTAGGGAGTAAACAAAGAGATAAATCTGGATTAAAAGTGTTCTCTTACAACCAGGACTTTAAAACTTGTAATTAGTAATTGATATAGGAACCGTCAGCCCGCAGTCCACAGTTCGTACAATAGTTTAAATAAGCGATACCAACTGCTATCTAGATTAATAATTTGGGTAACGTTCGATCACTGACTATTGATTTAACTACCGAAAGTTACGGCCAGTATACCATCAGTTAAACATGTTACGATTTCCAAACAACTGAAAATAACAAAATAAATTTCCCGGATCTTGTCCAATAGAACTGGTATGGATCTGAAAGTTATAAAGGTACATTTTACTTTTATAAATCAGTTATTCACGAAAATTTCTAAATTGGATTTCATTTTCAACTGACACGTTTTTTAGATTTTCTAACAAAACATTAAAACTCCGGAAAAAAAATTGTGTATGCTAAAAACAAGAGAATTAAAAAAAATATATTTTAAGCATAGAATGAAATAAAATAAATAGGGCATATAATATCAAACATGACAACCTAAACAACTGTGGCATTCTTGGGCGTTTGCGATGTAAAAACAAATAATATATTGATATCGAAAGATTAAATTGTATTTCCTTTGATTTTATCCCATACGAGAACAAAGAGGCAAAAACCAGACTTGTCTAAGGTCTGTTTCATACGTTTAACGTCCCATTTGGAACTGGAATCAAGCAGTGTAGTCTTTGCAACACTGTCTGAAGAAAACTGATGGGCGTGGTCTTTCATTGAAACAATATTATTAACCTAGAATGTATGTCACTACCGGGTAAGGTGACTAAGTTGTAAAGTGGGGCATAACGTGTAGAAGTATTTTTTATTTTTATTTTATTTTTTTGCGTGCGTGTAAAAACGAAAGGCATAAGAAAGCTGGGATTTTTCCTCTTTAACTTTTATTTTCAAACTGCAATTTGCTAAGTCATTATCAAAATGCTAGAGGTAGCGCTGTTCTATTAACGTTTCATTGGCTGAAGTCTCTTCTGACGTCACGCCACCATACCAGTTTGATTCAGTTTGATTCAGTTTGGCATGAAGGCTTATTATTTTTAAGCTGTCCAGCATTAACATCACACAATTTTTTATCGGATGAATATTAAGCTTCTTACACAATCGTGCAGCAAAAGTACAGATCAATGATGCAATACCGAATTTATTTATTTTACAAGTCGGAGTTCCTCAAGGTTCAATTTTTACATCATTTTCTATAATAACACACCTTTCCCTAAACTAACCATCTACACACGCCTCTCAAAACACAGATGACATGGGGATCTGGAGTGCGTCACGTGATCCAATAATCGCCTGGACCAAAGTACAAGCATCATTAATTAAAACTACGTCATCACCTGGTGTGACAAATGAAGAGAAGCACTTAATGCCAATAAAACATGGGTATCGTATTCAATGGAAAATTTACACGTAAAAGAAAACAACT